ATTCATGGCATCACAAGGCCTGGCTCTCCACAGTCCTTGTGCTGGGGCAGTTCATCTCTCCACACGGTGACCTCTCTGTTCTCACCCCACAGTTACCACCTTGAATAGACGACAAGCATAATGTGAGCCCTTTAGAGAGGAAGGTGCTCTACTCTCCGGGGTCACCCACATCAGCATTACGTTCGGTTCCCTGACTGAAATCCGACGTGCCACAGGAATCCAGCCCTCTCGCCTCTAATTCTAGGTCACTCTATTCTCGGGTCAGTCCAATTCCCGCCATGCTGGCGTCTCCAGGAGCTTGGCAGGGGGCAGGGGCAGGAGTTGGCTTTTCAGAGCGGGATTTCTCCCCGGAGCCGAGTGGAATAAGAACAGTGCTGGAGACGGCTGACCCTGCCCATTCTGCTGTTGTGGCTCAAAAAACGCAAGTGTGTTTTAATGTTAGTCTTAGCAAAGCAGAATCATGAACAAGTCTGCTAGACAGAAAGCAGACAGTGCACAGCAATTCGAAAGACACTTTGGATTACCTGCCGCTCCGATTTTTCTCTGTGCCCTTGAGTTCCCGCCATTACTACAGACAGCTAAGAAGGATCTGGATTAGAAGCCTGCTAGTGGGCCCAGGACCAGCAGCAGCAGCCGGGAGCTTGTTAGAATGCAGTCTCAGCCCCCCGGCCCCTCAATCTCCTAAATCAGAATCTGCATTTAAACAAGATTCACACGCAGGTTTAAGTTGGAAATGCATTTAGATGCGATGGGCAGGCCCACATCTTCTACGTGCTCTGCATCCTCCCTCGCAGGTGGGCTCCCTAAATCACTACACCTGGCTGAGAATGAAAAGGGTTCTAACGGGAAGGCTCCAGCACAGTCATTGGGGAGGTTTTACCCTTGACTGTACTTTGCAAATGTTGCGGTATGTAAATTCCGCCCTAAGGGGCGCAGATGCAGAAAGCAGAGACTCTCGCAGGATAAAGAAACTAGAGTTGATACCTATTTTTAGGCAAACTTGGTTGTTCTCCTGTCTTCTCTCCAGGGGGGCCGGTGCTTACAGTTCTAGCACCCTTCACATCCCCCCTCCCCTGCACAGCTGCCCGGTACCCCTGTGGCCCTGGCCCTGACCCTGGGTGAGGGCCAGCCCCTCCCCCCAATAACTTCACACCCTTTTCAGCAGAGCCCCAAATTAAGAGTGTGGCAGGAGGACTTCACGCTCTGGAATGGAATGGCAGCAGCTGTCCCTACATTCCACCCCTGAGCAGGCCCTGGGACACATGGCTGAGGAGGCAGCAAAGGATCAGGAAGAACCTTTCTGGGGATCAGTGCCAGGCGGTGCCCCTCCACAGGCCTGGAGAAGAGGAGGGCAGAGATGGATAGTGAGCTAAGGCTTATCCTTCCCAATGCAGGCCAAGGGCTAACCTCCAGCCTCAGACCCTCGCAAGGGAATGTGGTGACCTGGGTGACTGCTTCCGGGAAACTGCATGTGGTAGGTTCTCAGCCCGGCCCTTGCCAAGGTGTCCCAACCCACAGCCTTTCTCAAGGTGGGGGTAAGGGGTGCAGGGATAAGTGATGGCCAATAGGGACTGGTTAAATGAAATTAGGGAGCCTCTCTAGAACAGAATAGAATGCAGCTGTGAAACATCAGGGTGCTCTTCTCTTTACATGTTGATGTGGAATGATCTCTGTGATAGACACATAGTTATGTGAAAAAGGCAGGGCTACCTGTGTGTAAAAGAAAGAGGAAAGTAAGAAAAATAGGTATGTTTGCTTATATGCTTTTGAAACAGCTTGGAGGGCATATAAGAAATGGATACACGGCCGTGACCAGTCTGGCTCAGTGGATAGAGCGTCAGCCTGCTCTATCCCAGGTTCGATTCCCGTCAAGGGCATGTACCTTGGTTGCGGGCATATCCCCAGTGTGGGGTGTGCAGGAAGCAGCTGATCGATGTTTCTCTCTCATCGATGTTTCTAACTCTCTATCCCTCTCCCTTCCTCTCTGTAAAAAAATCAATAAAATATATTAAAAAAAAAAAAAGAAATGGATACACGGATGGCCCGGGAGGAAGAGAACTGGATGGCTGGGGGTGGGGGTGGGGGTGGGGGCAGAGTTAGACCTTTCACTGAGGTTTCACTATGAACCTTTGAAATGTTTGAACTGTAATGTGACTGTTATTACCTATTCACAGACGAATCTCTACAAGTTTAAAATGTAATAATTAGGGTGAGTGTGGCTATAAAGAGGCAGCATGAGGGAGCCCTGTGCTGATGGACCAGTTCTGTGTCTTGACTTGCTGGTGGTTACATGAAGCTACACATGTGATAACACTGCACAGAATTACACACACACACACACACACACACACACACACACACGAGTGCATGTAAAACAAGTGCAACCTGAATAAGCTCTGCGGATTGTATCAGCTTTGATTTCCTGCTTTTGACATCGTGCTACCTTATGTAAGAGGGTACCCTGGGGGAGACTGGTGGACAGTACATGGGATCGCTCTGTACATTTTTTTTTCACTGCCCTGTGAATATATAATTATTTCTAAATAAAATGTTGAAAAACGTAATAACACAACAAGGGAGAATGTCAGGGAATGGCAAGGCTGGACAGGATCCTACAGATTCTCTAGCAACAGTTTCTCAAGCCAGGAAACCCTTTATTCATACGAAGTCTCCTGAGGAAGCCCAGCATGCAAAGCAGAGCCACGGGGAGCTCTGCGGTCAGAGCGCACCTGCTCAGCGCCCTACAACCACCTGCTGAAAACCACCACCTCTGGTTCATTCCTCTCAACTTACAAACACTTCAATCACTGGGCTCAGAGATCATTCTACCACTGGGCCAAAGTCACAGCCTGTGCGTCCGAGCCCCCTGTCCAGTGTTTACCTGCCGTCCAGTCCCGGAGAAAGAGGTGCAGAGTGTCTGATGGGCCAAGCCTGGGCCTCCCCTCCCACCCCTGCAGGGCAGCCCGGCCCCTGGGCCCCTGCCAGTCGGTACCTGGAGCAGTGCGGCTGTCATGTAGAAGACGATGAAGATGAGGGTGAGTGTGGTATGCCCTCCCTGCATACAGCTGATGGTGTAGAGGAAGACCAGGTGTCCTGGAACCACAAGCAGGAAGAGGACCCGGGCCGAGCGAGAATTCACATCTGGGAGCGAGGAAGAGCAGGGGTGAGGAGGAAACCTGGCCCCAGAAGGTCTTTCAACATCAGGAGGTACCACGCTACAACTCCAGGGCAGCAGGCAGCGGACTGCCTCTAGCTCTCCATCCCCTGGTCCCAGCCCCCAGGGTTCTCAGGAAAGGAGAGCCTTCCTGCCTGGCCTGTGCCCACTACGACAGCTGGTATCTGGGCCCAGCTGTTTCCTAAGTGAAGCTCACTGACTGCTGACCCTTCCCTCCAGGGCTGGAGTGGACCCAGGCTGGGGGGACTCTGCCGTTACCAGGACTGAAGAAGGTGGTACAAGGACTGGGGCAGCGGCGAGGGGCCTGCTCAGAGTTCTCCCCGGGCATTCCGTTCATGTGCAGGAAGGTGGAGATGCGGCTGGCCTGCACGGCCACCAGATTGCCCCCGACACCTGCAGAGACAAAAGGACCTTAGACATGGGGGGAGGGAGCAGTCCCCAGGAGGAGAGTGAGACATGGAGAAGAAAGACAAAGACAACCCCCTACCCCCATTCCAGGAGTCTTCCAATCCTCCCATCCCCCCGCTCTGGAGATGTGGCAGACTCATGCGGCCCTGGTGTGGCTGCGTGTGCAGGAAGGGACACAGGCAGATCTGTCGACTCAGGGAGCCTGACTTCTCCAGCAGCGGGGTGTATGCACCTGCTGTTGCACACAGTCCGGGGGATGAGGCCCTGCTTGCCTCGGGCCCTCGCCAAAGCGCCGAGCAGACCCAGGGACCCAATGGTTCTGGTAACCCATGTCAAGGATCAGGTCTGAGCTCTGTGCTCTGGAATCTGGCGCCCAGGAACTATGCTTACTCTCCTTGGCATCCCATCCCCACCCATTCCCTGCTCCCCTCGGCCTTGCTCTGAGCCCTGCGAGGCTGACTCTACAGACTGTATCACCCAACCTCCCGTGATGGTGCTTCTAATCAGATTTGTTCAACAGGAGGCATGAGTAGGTGATCAGAAAGGGTGGAGGAGAGACAGGGGCCAGGTATTTCTTTCCTGTTCCCTCTCTGCTTTGTGGCTGTGGCTTATCCCTGCTGGGGGCAGAGGAGGGCTCTTTCTGGGCTTCCATAACACTATTTTCTCCCCTGGCCCCTTGAGAACTAGGGCTTCCTGTTGCTGCTCATGTCCGGATGCTTCAGCATCTCTTGTTGGTCCTACCCGGCTCTCCCTTCTGGGAGAAGCCCCTTCATTCAAGTCTTGAACTAATTGAGCTGGGTTCTCTTGCCTGCTAGAACCCTGACTGAGGCAAAGCCCCCCAAATCCTCTTTGCCCTCTCCTTTCCCCTGGCAGCTGAGGCCAAACCTCACCGTTAATCACAGGTGTGAAGACAGCCATCCCTGCAAAGTTGGGGTCTGACACAGTCTTGTCCAAGATGAGGCCTCCCACGCTACAAAGACACAAAGACAAAATGACACAAAGGCCATTAAGGGGTTCTGTTCCAGTCCCTGGCACGAGAGGGGCAGGCCCATCTGGCCGTGGGCAGGAAGGGAAGCAAGGTGGCTCTCAGGAGTCCCTGCTCTCCCAGTCCTTGCTTCTTTTGCCAGAACCAGCTGCTGCTCATAACTTTCGGCTGTCACAGTGCTCCCTGAGCAAGCTGATGGCACCCACCTCCCAAGCTGGCTGGAGGCGCCATCCATAGGACAACCTGCTTGTGAGAACCTCTGCTGTTCTGCCTGTTCAGTATTTATTTCCCTTTCCTCAGGGGATGGTCTCTCTCAAACTCAGTGGCTGTGGTTCACATGACATTACTCCTATGAGGACTAGGCTCCAAACTCATCCAATCAAAGCATCACATCCCCAAGGCCACAGTGATTGGTTCAGGAATAATCATGTGACTTAAGGAGAGCCAATGAAATTTTATTTTATTATTATTACTAGAGGCCCAGTGCACGGATTTGTGCACCAGTGGGGTCCCTCAGCCTGGCCTGCGCCCTCTCGCAACCCGGGACCCCTTGATGTAGTAGTGCGCAAAGTGGCAGGCGGCTGGGGAGGAGCCTGAGCCCAGGCACCGTGCCACTCCTGTTCATCCTGGCCCCGCTGCGCCTATCACTGCTGCCTGGTAGCGTTGCACGGAAGGCGGGAGAGGCTTGCATTGCTGCAGCTGCGCTGGCCAGCTGTGAGCCTGATGTCTGGTGCCTGTTGGTCAGCTGAGTGGCACTCCACTGTGGGAGCGCGCTGACCATCAGGAGACAGCTCCTGTGTTGAGGATCTGTCCCCTGGTGGTCAGTGCACATCATAGCAACTGGTTGTTCGGTCGCTTAGGCTTTTATATATATAGATTATTTTTTTTTCCCAATGAAACTTTATAATGGGACTTTGTGAAATTGTTGAGAGAAAGAATCTCTCTTACCACTGAATTAGTACAAGTAGAAAAGTATAAACCGGAACTGCAGGCCAGCACAAGGAAAAGCAGAGCCAAGAGTTGTCGAATACTGGGGCCCTGATGATATAATTTCTGCTCCTGAATCCAGCTGTGCCTTTTTAGTTCCCTGAGCCAAATGCATTCTGATTTTCAATGAAACCCTCTTCAGATGGTTTCTGTCATTTAAAATAGAAGGACAAGTGACTGACACACTATTGAAGGCATTTCCAGGGTCTGTGCCATGCTCCCTCTCTTCAGGCTTAAAAGGGAGTCTGTGGCAGGGTGGAGAGGGTGGGGGTAGGCACCCACGGCCTGAGCCTACCTGCTGATGGCCATGGCAATGATGACAGGCTCCCAGCCCGAGTACAGCACCTCCCTTGTGGCTGGGCTCCGCCGGGCCAGCACCACCCAGACCGGTAGCAGGGCCACGAAGAAGGCACACACCAGGGGGTAGATGTATTTCCAGTTTTCTGAGAAGCAGAGATCAGACGGAGGTGAGCACTGTGGCTCCCTCTTCCCAGCCTCCCCCTGGCTGAACCTGCAAATATCCCAACAGATCAACAGCCACCCCACACTAAATGCCTGGACATATATAACCTCATTTGATTCTCACTGTAAGCCCAGGAGATAGGAGGGGCCAGGCTTTCCCATTTTGTAGATGAGAAAACCAAGGCTGAAAGCTTCCCCAGCACCGGACTCATACGGGACAGAGACCAGATTCTAGGTGTCTTGCTTTGATCCCCAGAAATCACTCTCTCCCCTCCCCTTCTTCATTTTGCAAGCAGATTCCAGCCTTCCGTTCCCTTCCTTTACCCTGTACACCTTACCCCTCCAAGGCAAGCAATAATCCAGCAGGAATATACATATTTCTCTGATACTCTCTATCCTGCCCCTGCTACCTGCATGAACTTGAGATAAGCACTTAACTTCAATTCTCTAAGGTGGGGAGCTATTACAACTGTATTCCAATCAAATAAAGAACGCAGAAGAAATGCTTGCACATTTGCATATACACTAACCATCTCTCCCAACCCCACCCAGGAGTCCACCCGGCTCACACCCTCCGTAGCCTCATCCTCACCCAGCTCCAGGTAGAGTCCCCAGCTGATGCCTGAAAGCAGTGCCAAGGTAATGAGGTCCCCCAGGCTGGCAGCAATGGGAGTGGCCACGTTGTCTGGGTTGATTCCAATCTTTCGAGAGCCAATGATGACCCCAATCATGATCATACCTGGGGAGGAAGGAGAGGAGCCAGGAAGGGTAAGAAGAGGTAGAGGGGTAGCAACAAAAAGAGAGACTGGAAGTGCCAGGCCCAGGTGACACCTCTGGGGCAGCTCTCCCTACTCCCTTTCCCTCGCACCCTCCTCCCCTTCCCTTCCCTCCTTACCTAGTACCAGGGAGGCAATGAAGGCTGTGGCCACACTGCTGGCACACAGCAGAAAGGCATGCGGGATGCTGAAGTGGCCGTCAGGGATCCAGCCAAAGACGACAGCTGCAATGGACGCCAGGAAGCCCACCACTGTGGCCTGCACCTGAGGGGGGAGTGGTAACTGGAGCACTGGGAGCAGAGAGCTTCTTAGCAGAGACCTTGTCCTGGCCCTCTGCAGCCCAGGAGGTAGGTGGGGCGGGACTGTCCAGTCCTCCCAAGCAGGAATGATGTCTTTATTTGTTTAGTTTCACACCAGACACTAGTACTGTGCAGTGCACCCCGCAGGAGTCCAGGACATGTTACTGGTGGAATGAGTGTTCCTCTGCGGACTGGGGTGAGGTTCAATGGCGCCTAGGACTTCAGCCCAGAGACAAGGCTTGGGCCTCAAGGGGACACGAGACAAGGGCGGTCAAGGACATGTCAGCACTCCGGTGTTCGGAGTCTGATCTGTGGGGACATGAGCCCCCTGCAGCACTGGGAGCCGAGAACTGACACTGAGATGCCGAGTTTCTTGGCTGCTTTCCTGGGAAACCTGGTTCCCTCCTAAAGCTGCTTTCGGAGAAGCCAGCTCGGCAGGACGCCGGAACTTCACCCGGGGCCCAGCTGGGGCTGCCCAAGCTTTTCATCCCTGACCAAGGAGGACGCCCAGCCCAGTCTCTCTGGTTCCTGCTGTCTTACCTGAATGAGGGCCATGTTCCCAGTGATCATCCGCCAGAGCTCCTTGGGTGTGTCCATGTGCCCGATGTTGGCCTGGGAGAGGGAGGACAGGGGGCTGGAACTCCAGGCTGGAAAAGGCCTGCAGCTCAGACCATTAGCATCCAACTGGCTCAGGAAGCAGTGCATGCGCCCTAAGACTCTGGGACTAGCCCCGTGGAGAGTGAAGCAGGCACGGGGGGGGAGAGTGAGAGGGAAGGGGCTCCTTGAGCGCCTGTGGCGGGTGGTGGCAGGAAGGGGGCTCCTAAGGCAGTCTCCTCCTCTCAGGAGAGCTGCTCCCGACACCTGCCCAGCCCAGATTCCACCCTCTGCCCTGCTCATCAGGACAGCCCACTCCTGCACAGGTGAGAATGGCCCGATGGCCCCCCAGCTCTGAAGCCCGCGTGCTGTCCTCAGGAAGGAAAGGTTAGCTGCTGGTGCAGGACTGTGGCCGCAAGTGTGTTTGGGAAGGAGTGAGGAGGCACAGGAGGCCAGGAGCAGGGCCAGTTGGGGCAGAGCAGGCTGGCTACCACTTCTCTCTGCTGCCTTCTCCCGACTGGTGGCCACGCAGGGACATCTCTGCCACCTGGTTCCCCTGCCTCCTGAGTTTTATTGCCTCCCACCTCCTACCCCCTGGTCCTGTATCTGGTCCAGCCTTTGAACTGTCATGGCTGATCTAAGGGGTTTGGGAGGTGGGGGTGATGAGCACCCCTCCCCGGCTATTCCTTCAAAGCCAAGGGGGCAAGGGAATGGGATGGGAGAGGCGGGGCAGGCCTGGCTCTGCTCCGGCCCAGCTGCAGAGTAGGGCTGGAGATCAGAGGCGGCCCCCATCTGTGCAGGTGGAGGGACCAGCATGATGCTTGCCTGTCAAAGCTGCACAAACAGTCACGAGGCGGGTTGCAAAACAGGGGGTGGGGCAAGCGTCCAGGGACGGCTGAGACATCCAGAAACCGAGCCTGGGAACCACTCGAGCAGGGAGCCCCTGCCAGGAGCAGGACACCGGCCCGGGATCTCCCTACACCTGCCCACCCCAGCCCCACACCCCAGGCCTGGGCCGCTGAGGAGGCCAGTCGCAATCTCCCAGCCTGGCTCCGTGCTGCCCAGAGTCCTGCATACCCCCGTCCTCCCGGCCAGGACACTCACTGCGGTGGACAGCCTCGATGCCAGGGTCATTTCCAGGTTCCCCTTCAGCCCCAGCAGTGCAGGCACCAAGATGAAGACCTCTGTCACCTTCTGGAAGACTTCCCAGTGCTACAAGGTGAAAACAGATCTCAGGAATTTCAGTGCCCCAAGGGGCCGGCTTCGAGGTTGAACAGATAGTCAGGAATCAGGGGCTTGAGGAGGAAGTGGGATCAGCAGGGAGTGAGCACATCAGCCACTTTTCCTCCAAGAACCCTGGAACCAAACCAAGCCCATGGTGCTCCAAACAACACAGTCCCCCCGCAGTCCCCCCTCCCCCCCCCACCGCCCAGAACAGGGGAGATGTAGATGTAGAGGCTTCTCTGGTCAGGAGACCCTAGCCTGGCTCTACTTCCACTGCCTTCTATTCGGCCAGGGGGAAGAGAATGGTGAAGAGCCACACCGCTGAGTCACCCTAGGTGGCTGACACCCCAAGTTCCTTTGAGATTCCCCCTCAAATCGCAATCCCCAACCCCTCTGCCTTTAGTCCGTTTTCTCTGTGGCCTCAGCCTTGGGTAGTGTTGTCTCAGCTGTTGAGAGCTGGGCTCCACGGGGCTGAGGAGATTAGGGTTTGTTTGGTTTCTATCTCTAAGGGCCTTGGGCCTCAGCCATCGTAATTTTCCTTCTGAACAGGGTCTGAATTAAGACCGTGGTCCCCAAACCTCAAAATGCTGGTCTGCAAGAGGCGTTTTATTTTGCCTCTGCACTCTCTCACCCTACATACTTCCCCCAACCTCTCAGCGAGGAGACGCAAGTGCACCCCTGCAGGGAGAGACTGAGCCGGGAGGCAGGAGACACGGGTTCTAGCCCGACATGTTAGGCCTGGCTCGCCCCCAGGTCCTCCAGCAAACATCTATCACGCAGACTGTGCTAGGCCAAGTGCTCTACATGCATTTTCCATTTCACCCTATCAACAACCTGGTGAGGTAGGGGCTATTTTTAACCCCATTTGGTAAATGAGGAAACAGGTTCAGAGAGCACTACACCCATGAGTGCTAAGGGGGAAAAGTGGGAGCCAGGACTGGCTATCTGAAAGCTACTTTAGTGGCAACTGAAACGGAAGACTTGTGAAAAAGGCTGGGATTGCGGCTCCCTCCCTGGCCTTGGCAGCAACTGTGGGTTCCTTTATTTGTTTTGAGAATGGAAAGACTTCAACTTTGGGGAGGGCGGAGGGGGCAGGTGACCAGGCAGAAGTACAGAGGTTGAGGCAACGTGCTGTAATGTCCTGGACCGACAGCCTTAGATCTCCCACAAGACACCCCAGGGAGGGGCCTCACGCTGTCTCTCCAACATCCTCCCCACACTGACCAGGGGGGACCTTAGGCAAGTTACAAGGACCTCAAGTTACTGACTATAAAAATGTACAATTCAGGGGCCAGATCAAAGGGTCTCTAAAGGCAATTCCAGCACCAACACTCGATAGTTAAGGATGAGCAAGGTTGCAAATCGGACCTACAACGATTAGGATGGCTACTATTAAAAAAAACACCAGCCCTAGCCAGTTCGGCTCAGTGGATAGAGCGTTGGCCTGTGAACTGAAAGGTCCCAGGTTCGATTCCGGTCAAGGGCACGTGGGCTCGATCCCCAGTGGGGGGCTTGCAGGAGGCAGCCAATCAATGATACTTTCTCATCATTGATGTTTCTATTGCTCTCTCCCTCTTCGTTCCTCTTTGAGATCAATAAAAATATATTAAACAAACAAAAAACACTAAAACTTCAAGTGTTAGCAAGAATGTGGAGAAATTAGAACCCTTGTGACTGTTAGTGGAAATGTAAAATGATGCAATCACTATGGAATGTAGTATGGCGATTCCTCTAACAATTAGAATAGAATCTATCACATGATCCAGCCATCTCACTGCTGGGAATATAGCCCTAAGAGTTGAAAGCAGAGTCTCAAACAGACCTCTGTACACCCATGCTCATAGCAGCATTAGTCACAATAGCCAAAAAGTGGAAACAACCCATTGGTAGATGAATAGATAAATAAAATGTGGTATATACACACAATGGGATATTATCTGGCCTTAAAAAGGAGGTGTATCATGTCACCTGCGACGACACTGATGAACCTTAAGGACATTGTCCTAAGTAAAATAAGCCAGACACAAAAAGACAAACACCTCTGTATGTATCTAAAGAAGTCAAACTCATAGAAATAGAAAGTGGGATGGCGGTCCCAGTGGGTGGGAGCAGGGAGCAAAGGGGAGCTGGTGGTTCATGGGCACAGAGTTTTCGTTTTGCAAGATGACAGCGTTCTGGAGACGGATGGTGGCGATGGTAGCGTAACAATGTGAATGTACTTAATACTACTGACCTGTGCATTCAAAAGAGGTTAAAATGGTAAACTTTATGTTATGTGTTTTTTTGCCACAATTAAAAAAAATGATCAAGGAGATCAGAGAGGGCTGGGCCAGGACTAGAGACCAGGTGAGGCTGGACACTGGGGGTCCTATAAGGCAAGGACCTCTGAGAAAGAGAGAGAGAGAGAGAGTGTTTAAAACATATATATATATGTGTGTGTGTGTGTGTATTTTTTAAAATATATTTTTATTGATTTCAGAGAGGAATGGAGAGGGAGAGAGAGATAGAAACATCAATGATGAGGATCATTGATCGGCTGATTCCTGCACACCCCCTACTGGGGATCCAGCCTGCAACCTAGCATGTGCCCTTGACCGAAATCGAATCTGGGGACCCTTCAGGCCGCAAGCCAAAGCTCTATCCACTGAACCGAATCGGCTAGGGCTTAATCATTTATTTTTAATTGAATTTAGAGGAAGGGTAGAGGGCAGATAGAGACAGAAAAATCAATCAACAATTGTTTGCCATCTTGCATGCTGG